AGAACTCATGTTTCTAGACCCAAAAGCATCAAATCCCAAAGACATTGTTGCAAATTATTACCAAATAAGAGAAAGAATCAACTGTAATCCACTGAAATAGTGTACGGAAACACAGAAACAGAATACTGAAATACTGTAGCTGCCGGAATCTACTGTAGCTGTCGGGATAGTACTGTAGCTGCCGGAAAAAATTCAAAGTTGACGGAATGAAATGAAAACAGTAAGGGTAGGATCGGAATTACCAGGCGACCCAACTGTTCTGAAGAAAGATTTTTAAAAAATGGCCGGAAGTGGTCGTACGCGCCGGCGCGTGAGCGCGCGAGAGCTTCTGGTGGCGCGTGAGGAGGCTGCTGCCGGAGTTTTTCACTGGGGTTTGGTCGTCGGACAGTGACGACTCTCGTGGTAGTGTTGGATTTTGCACAACACTGACAGAAATAAAGCAGATAGAAAACAGCCTTTAAAAAAGTACTGATTTCTCTTTCCCGGAATCGCTGGAATTTATGCGCAGCGATAAGTCTCTCACAATTACTCTGATACCATGTGAGAAAGCACGGGAGAAAATATATTATTGATATTAGATGAACAATACAATACAAGAGGTCCTTATTTATAGTTATACTATACAAGGACATATTACTCCTCTACCAATGTGGGACAATACTACACTATATACATGCTGTAAACTAACAAGATCAATATAGAGGAGTTGATTCAGCTTAATCGGGGAACTTTTTTCTTTTTTGTGATAAAGATATCTAGGAAATTATTACCAACTGAAACTGAAAACATGAAACTTTGCTACAACAAGGTGCTACAATAAGGGAAAGATCAACCAAGAATGCTTTGCATCAATGGCGGAACCAGAATTTTATGTATATGGGTTCAATAAAAAATAACTATAACCAACAATAAGGGCTGTACCGACAAGTAAAATTTGCCCAACGCTTTTTTATTTTTTGAGTCAATGCTACCACAAAACGAACATCCAAAAAGTTGAGACAGACATACTTTTTTCCTTTTTTCTTTCCAAAAATAGTTGGGAAAGATATTTAAAATGTTTAAAAAAGACAAATTACTTTAGCTGCAAATGTTAATAATTTATCTATTTAATTTAGCAATTATACTTAAACGAATTTTACAACTTGTAAAACTTAACAAAAAAATCCAACCAATTTGGAAATTTATTAGATTTTTTTCTTATAAAGAACAAAATTGTTAATTTACGAACAAAAATTAAAGAGTTATAACTTAAACTAAACTAATATAAGCTTTCAGTTATAACTTAAACTAAACTAATATAAGATAAGAAAGCTGATAAAGTAAACTAACTTGTTCAACGTAACATAAATAATTAATTTAGTATAAAATAATTTAAGATGAATTAGGAATTAAAAATATTCAATGTCTGCACTTGCATGTTTTAGCAAAATAATGTTAGATTTCACGCATTGATGATTGAACACACATGTGCACACGGTGACAAAGAACAAAAGATGTGCAAGAACAAAAACTATGCAAAAGAAAAAAACAGCAAAGAGTTGCTGTTACAAAGTTTCGAACCCTTAACATGCATCAAACATTGAACCCGCACAACCATCCGTCCACTGGATCATGTTTGCTCAAGAGGATTCAAAATAACATTATTATATCAAATTTACAGAATTTAACCTATATATAATACCAAAATAATTTGACGAAGCGGGTTCATTTGAACCCTCTTGACCCTATGTGGGTCTGCCCCTGATTTGCACACAACTTTAACGCAAAGATTGATAGAAGCTTAAACATAATAATAATAGGGACATAAAGGAATCACCTTCAGCTCATTATATGCAGCATAGTACCGGGGAAATCTTCCCCCCTGGCCCTCCCAAAGCTTCTTGCCATGAATCTATCAAAATCAAAATCTTCTCCCTCACATTTAAATCAGGCTGCAAAGTTTACAGCAAAAACAAAAATCCTAAAGTTATTTGTCACGACCCAAAATTCCGCCACAGGCGTCGTGATGACACATAGTCTCTAATACTAGGTAAGCCGATTGCAATAACATTTTT